TACACTGCTAAATTAGGGATGGCTAGCGCAGATAGCCCTCGTGTAGCTTTGCGTGACATTCAAAACAAACTTTATAAAGAATATTCCTACATAGTTGTCACCAGATGTTATTTATATTTTTTCTTGCAAATAAATAACATTTTTATATTTACGTATTAGAAAGTTTTCAATCTAGTAGTGATGATTTTACAATTATTGAAATACCATTTAATTAACGTGTCACCTTAAAGATCACATATAAATTCAATTTCAAACACTTGCCTTTCATGTTCAATATCTGTATAAAAACGTCTTGCTAAGCTTACTTAGTCTGTACACAGCGTTTGTCATCCCAAGTTTTTTTTTCTCTTTACACGTTCATATTCGGCGATTATGATCTTAATTTGTTTTTTTAATCGTTCATAGTTATTGCAAGTTGATATTTCACGTCAAAGCAATTTTGTAAAACCACATGGCCATCATTAGGACCCCTGCTATAAATGATCATTCGGCCGAGCTGGATAACCTAATTAGCTCACACTTGTGTATTAAACTTTTTAATTTCAACGTCATTTTAAGCGACAATTTTTCCAGTATTTGCTTAGGAGTAAAAAAATTCTACATGCGTCTTTTGTTACAACAACAGCAAAACAAGATAGATTTGGACCCCACACCGCAACTTGTTAAAATTACCGAAGATATGCTATGTAGTTTACAGAAAAGCTAACACATCAGTCGTGAAACATTACACTTCCTTTCATCTAAACATCCAGTTCCAGGTTTCTTTTACATATTACCAAAAATATACAAACCCAACAATCCTGGTCATCATATTATTTCTAATTATGGTATGCCTACTGAAAACTTATCTGCTTATGTTGATAACAACATCAAAGATATCCCCCCCCCCCCACGTTTGACATCACACATTAAAGACACAACACATTTTCTAAACATGATCTGTGACATTAACAGCAATGGAAAACTTCCTCCAAACACTATTCTCTGTACTATGGATGTTTCTTCTTTATACACAAACATTCCCCACAAAGCCCTAGAATCTTCTCTGCAAAAACTAGACAAACCCAACACTCAAATTATTACAGACTTAGCTGAACTAGTACTTACACTTAACGGTTTTGAATTTAATAATGAGTTCTATATTCAAACAAAAGGCACAGCTATGGGCACCAAACTATGCCAACATTTTTATGGAAGACTTAGAGACGAAACGTTTGGAAAACTGCACAGACAAACCAACGTTTTGGAGACGCTACGTTGATGTTTTTTTGTTTTTTTTTTATTTTGGTAGGAAACGAAGATTCATTAATATTCTTTTATAGACATGCTAACACCTTCCACAGTTCTGTTAAGTTTACTCTACTCCACTACCCAAATAAGTTTCTTATATGTAAACCTAACATTAAAAGATGGTATTCTACATACCGATTTGTACCTAAAACCAAAAGATAAACCACAATACTTACATAATCAAAGCCGTTACCCTCCACACACCAAACACAATATCACATTCAATCAAGCACTTAGATTAAAGAAGATATGCATTGATAGTAAGAACTATGACCGTCACATTAATTGTTTGAAACAGATTATAACTGAAAGAGGTTATAAGCAAAACACTATCACTATGAGAAAGCTAACAATATACCACGTACATCTGCCTTGAAACAATTACCCAAAACCAATTCTTCTCGGATACTAAAGAAACACTTTTACCTCCTTTAACTTAATGATCGATTAAAATCTATTTTTACGGAAGTTCCTTTCGTTTCTTTCAGAAAGAATAAAACTTTGCATTCACACTTAGTTCACGATAAAGTAAACTTTAAGCCGACACCATCTGGAAGTCGACCTTGCAATAGTATGAGATGGCAAACCTGTAATTTTCCAATAAAGACAACCAAAAGCAGTTCAAAATCACTAATTCCATAACCTGCTCTACAAAAAATGGTTATTTACTTAATCCAATGTCGAAAATGCTATTTCTAATATATAGGTCAAAACAACTATACGTGGACGTTTTAAAAATCATAAATCAACAAACAAAAAACGTTCGGTTGCAAATACTATAACATGCCTGGACATTAACCTTATGGACATAGAGACAAATTTGACATCTAACAGAAATGGGGAAATTAAAGAAGCTTATTGGATTGCACTGTTAAATACTGTAACGCCAAATGGTATCAATCTCGATCCCAAGGTTGTTGACATTCGCAAGTCTCTGAAAAGATTTTCAAAACTAAATTCATGATTAAATTTACTTTACATCATTAGTATTATTCTTCCTTAAATTTCTCTTCATATATTGGTTTGATTTCCTATATACTGAGCTACATTATTATTTTTTCTATTTCCCGCCGCCTTTTTCCATTATTTATTTCTATTGCTTATTTTATCTTTATAGAAATTAGCTAACAATTCTTATAACTATTATCTCAGATAAGGCTTTTTTATGAACTTACACACCCCTTTGGCACAAAACTAAACCTGACACAAACAACTCTAGGTTATGATTGGTTAACTCTAAAGGCCAACTCATATTGAACATCCGGTTAACGTGACATAGACATTTGAGCCTATATGTTTCATCACACTCATTAAACATAACCCTTTATTCTCCTGAAATATCAACTATTCTAAAGCGCTCGAGTTTTGGGTCTCGTTTTGAAAATATTACAACTTTTGTAGGTGATCCTGTGTGCTAACTACTTAACCTGAACAGAAAAAGTTATATACTGCTAATACATCTCGGAGTTAAGAAGACATTGAGTCACCTATGGCAGAGATTTAACTGGATAGGTATGAGGCAAGATGTGGAAGAATGGTGCAGGAACTGCAATACATGTTGTGCTAAAAGGGGACCCATGCATAAGGGACGTGCTCCAATGAAGTTATATCAAGTTGGTGCAGCAATGGAAAGAGTAGCCATTGACATTGCTGGTCCTCTGCCCCAAACTCGTGCTGGAAACAAGTACATTTGTGTGGTGATGGATTATTTCACCAAGTGGCCTGAGGCATATGTAATACGAAATCAGGAAGCTACAACTGTAGCTTCGGCTATTAGTGATTTCTTCTTCAGATTTGTTATGCCATATGAACTGCATTCCGATCTAGGCCGTAACTTTGAATCAACTGTATTCCATGAATGCTGCAAGTTGTTTGGCATACGAAAGACCAGGACAACGCTACTTCAACCACAGTCTGATGTGATGGTATAAAAGTACAATTGGACACTGGGA